GCGTAAGACGGGTTTGTCTAAGGAGGCGATAATAGTTCAGGAAATGAAGTTCGAAAAAAGTTAAAACCTCGCAATTTTTTCGTCCTGCATGTATCCAGTTGAAATTTTAGCAGAAGGTAGGTAATAGCCCAAGGATCAAAATCTATATCGAACCGAAGTGCGCTGAAGGGATTTAGGGGTGAAAACTACCCCTACTTGTCAAAAATTATAAAATAACATATTAAACGTGAATATGGGTAAGATTTGGTTTGAATTAGTTAAATAATGATTATTTTATACTTTTGAATAGAGTTCCATCATATTTCAACCCTTAAAAAGCAACCCTTGTTAGAGATTAATGTGAAAAATTACTAATTCTAAAAAAATGATTTCGCCTTGGATCGATTTGGATAAAAATTTGGATATAAGCTCAATTCACCCGCTGATTTATAGTTTATGTCATGTCGACGAACCCTGATTGTTCTTAGGGGTGAAAACTACCCCTTATTGTCAAAAATTATAAAATGACATATTAAACCTGAATATGGGTAAAATTTGGTTTGAATTAATTAAATAATGATAGTTTCGTGCTTTTGAAAAAAGTTCCATCATATTTAAACCCTTAAAAAGCGACCCTTATTAGAGATTAATATAAAAAAATTAGTAATGCGAAGAAAATGATTTCACCTTGGAACGATTTGCATAAAAATTTGGAATTAAGCGTAACTCACCCTCTGCTTTATAGTTTATATCATGCCGATGAACCCTGATTGTTCTTAGGGGTGAAAACTACCCCTAATTTTCAAAAATTGTAAAATAATATTACAAATTTTAAGATGAGTGAAATTTGGTTTGGATTAGTTCACATTAGATCACCCTTTACAACATTGCAGTTTTTATACACTTATTTATAAGATAGAAATTGAAAAAAGTAGAATTAAATACAAAAAAAAGTATCAACATAAAAAGGCACCATATATTCTTATACATTTACATAAATAGTTGAAAATATTTACATTTATACGGAAAACAATTAATAATAATAATTTTATTCGTCATCAATTACATCTTCATCGTGATATATGTCATCCTCATCTTCTTCAATTATTGGTGGACTGTTATTGCACCCTTCACCTGAGCACCCAGAACAAGTAGAGTTTCAGTATAAACCAACTTTTCTGCACCCATATGAAACGCCGCATACTTTTTTGCATTGGCAAAAAATAATTTTCAAAAATTTATCGGGTGCAGGTTGTTTGTTCATGCGTACGGGTAATAACAAACCATCTTTGGAATACCAATCTGTTGCTCTGATATTTTCATTGCCAAGCCATAGACATATGAGCAGATGTTTTATTCTGTTGTATGGGATTTCAAAATAAGAACGCTTAAAATTTCGAATGTATAACGCCCCACTAGCTAATATATCGGTTTTGTAGATTATTATGCTCCGAAATGTACTGTACTATACTAATGGAATTTTCCGGAAAAAAATTAACTGATTTTTTTAACGTATTTCCTTTAATTTTTAACGATAAAGTGTTTCTTCAAAAACGATTTGTAGAGGTTTTTAATAGCTACAAGGATCTGTGAATTAAATCTTTTTGGAACCCTTGGTTTTTAAATGGGGTGAGTTTAAAGGGCTCGAAAAAGATGGTGCTTGATAGTAAATCGATGGCTATATCTCGCCAAATATTCATTGTACAACAAATCTAAATAAAGGATAATTTTAGTCATCAAAAAAAGCTACAATTTGGTAATTTTTATTTTTTTCATATATTCAGTATTTTCGGGCATATTTAAAAAAAGAAGGGTAAAAAATATGAAATTGTAAATCGTTTCTCGCTTTAAGCTGTACTTTTTCTAAAACTAAGCATTTTAAATGGGTCAAACTTTTTGGACGTATTAACAATACATCTACAAAGGGAATTGCAGAAGGGTGAAGATCGATTTTAATTATGGGGGTGGTTAGGGTGTTGTTTTTCTTGATTTTTTCGTAAAAAATGAGGTATTGACCTAATTTTTTTATGATAGGTCTATTTATGCTCTTTAAAAAAGGTTTTGTGAGTTTTCTTCCAAAAATACATCATTTTCCCGATATTTGACTTTAAATCTTTCAAATTTGGCATTTGAAGAAAACCGCTGAACATTGATATTGTATTTGTAATTGTATTTGTCTTTTTAAAAGCTACAAATTTGTTTTCTACAATTTTTTTGATAAAATGCACCATTTTCGAGTTATTCGCGAAAAATCGATTAAAAACGTGGATTTTTTCGTCTAAAAGTTGTTACTTTCAATCGCGAATAACTTGAAAAATATCATTTTATACAAAAAATGTATAGCACATTTTTTGTTTAGAATCACTTTTCTAATCGAAACCTGTAGTTCAAACGTAAAAAAAATTTTCACCCCGGAGATGGGGTGGCAACCACCCCCTAGGCTTTGGCGCACTTTGGTTCGATATAGATTTTGATTCTTAGGCTATTACCTACCTTCTGTTAAATTTGAAGTCAATCCACGCCGCACGAAAAAATTGCGAGGTGAAATGCTACATTTCCTGGACTATAACTGGTTTGACAGCATAATAAAATGGTAGATTTATGTGTAGCTTTTAATTTTTATGAGTTCAGAATCCAGCAGCCCGCTGAAGTATGGGATTTTTTATAATATAATTATTTGACAATCTTTTGTTGGCCAACCAGCTACAGCAGAATTGAGCCGAAATACATTATATTCCTATGTTCCGAATTTATTTCGTTCAATCTGTATATAGAACATAAGGATCACTCGAAGAGTGGCGGGTTTTTCGGTCAAAAATTGGAGCAAAAAGACAAAGATGATGGCTACTTCATCTATTTATTAAAAACGTTTCGCTATCCAATATGATAGCATCATCAGTTCATCTAAAAAGAACAATATGAAAAACCTAACATTCAATGAAAAGGTATTAAGAATGTTACCTCAAAAATAATGTAGCAGTCAGTGATATTAACAATTGTAAAGAAGCTTACGACAATGGACATTGTATAATTATGTTGTATAAACAATAAATTGAACTAAATATAGTTAACAATTTTCATAAAATTAGCACAGCAAAAAACATGTGGTAGTTGTACATGTATGTAAAAAAAATTATAAGTAAAAACTTATCATATATAAAAAACACAGTTAGTGTGGAAAAGAACTAAAAGATCCAAAAATGCACTTCCAACAGTAAATCAATAATTAAGATTTTATTTTAACTTTAGGTAGCATTATTCTAATGTTAATTAAAAATTTAGTAATTTAAAAGTAATAATGAAGTTACCACTGAGAGCTTCTCGAGTGCTGCCGGTGAAATGAAGGCAACAGGTGTTAAACGTCAACAACGTGAAAAGACAGATGCCAAGAGGTCAACGAGTGACAGAACTACAAGGCGTATTACTACCAACTCCAGTACAATAGAGCGGTTTGTTTAAAAAATATGACAAATTTGGTCGACAAACTGTCTGTAAAAACCAAAAACTGAAAGGAAAAGGTGGTTGAGAACTCCATTTTTCCTCCAGTGATCGGTTAAGATAAAATAAAGAACAAACAAGAGAAGTCAATCCAAAAAATCATATGTTAATAGTCTACGTTGTGACTGGTTAGCCAGCCACAGGGGAAGGATGATCAAACTTCCAACAGTCCAAGGTTCATCACATTTGGAACTGAATTTAATAAGATTCTATGAATCAGTTTATAATAATAAAGTTGTATTAAACTATTTGTATGGAAACAATTAATACAATTATACAAAAGCAACGTTGACATTAAGTCATGAAATATAGGTTGCATAAATCTAAGATAATTAAAGGTTTATTATTTAATTTATTTTAATTTATATTTGAAAATTATTTAAAAAGAAATTATGTAAAGAAAACACCTTAGGTGACAATTTTTAAAATAAATAACATAGTAAGCCTAATTCTGCAATATTAGAGCATGATAAAATTGGCTTAAGTTGCTAATGTCAGTTCTCTTATTAAAAGTATTAGGGTGTTTAAGTATATGACACATTTCTAAAAACTGTCTTTTAACAAGATTGCGTTCAGAACCAAGAATCTTAACTTCATTAAAATCTACTCTGTGTTTAGTGTTGATAGCATGCTGTGCAAGGGCACATGTATGCTTAGGTAAGTTGATATCAGTTGATATCATTCTTAACAGCAATTTTAACAGGTATGTTCTTCTGTTTATATAGTTTAATAAGTTTGTCAGTAACTTGAGGAAAGTAAGATAAAGATGAGTAGTGGGTGGTAGGAGTCCCAAGTGCAGTACCAGGCAGAACAGTGTCATTCAAAGAATTATTTGATATTATTATTAAGTTGGTCACCATTGGGTATGTCATTTAAAGAGGAACCATAGCTTTGTACAAAAAGGTATTTGTTAATGAGAGAAGAAGGATAAGAATTCTCAATGAGAATATTTCTAAGTGATTGAAGGGATTCCCTTCGATTAACCAGATGTGTCAATCTATTTAGCCTGCAGCTTAAAGATTTAATTAAGTTTAATTTATATTTAAAAGGATGGCAGAAATGGTAATTAAGGAACCTATTAGAGGCCATAGGTTTTCTATACCAACTTGTGGTTAAGGTGTTATCTTCCATTCTAATGACACGCATGTCTAGGAAGGGAATGCTATTTGTGAGGGGTCCTCAAGTTCAACAGTGAACTGTAAATGAGGATCAAATTCATTAAACAAGGATAAGGTGGCCTGTATATTATCAGGATGTAAGGCTAATAATAAATCATCCACATACCTCTTAATGCCGCTTGACACTGTTCTGCCATCTTCTTGTGGTTAGATGAGCATCGAGTAAGCCATGTTGAGAAGGAACATCCTTTGAATTTTAACGTTATTATAAATAGATAAGTTACAAAGAACATGCCTCTATTACCTCTTGGTGTATACAATATATGCAACAACGCAGAACACTTAACAGTATCGGAAAGATATTGAAAAATTTTTAATTGTAATTTATATAAAAACTAAACATACCCTAAAAATACTGCTGTTGATACTAGATGTACTCGGTGATACTTTTTCGTCGGTTCTAAAATCGGACCAGTTCCAATCCGATAATGACCTTGCAGCCATGGAATCTCGACGAGACGCTTCAAGACTATCTGAAAAGAATAGCAAATACAAGTTACAAGTTTTCCCAGTAAGTCAATAATATACTTTCTTATACATAATATAATTCTTTCTATTAAGTATATATTTATTATAATTCTTATAATAATAAATAATTATAATAAGTCCCGCTGACATCAGGATATGTTAGTTTCCTTTCCCTACTTGATTTTATTTTATCATGTATAGGTATTACTTAAAATTTTATCACATAGAGTGTCATGGTGAGTCAAAGTTGTCGACCGAAGTTTTTTTGTCTAGGTGGCCGTGGTGAAACGATATTGTTCACCACGCCTTTTTACGTTTCAGGCCGCGGTGCAGCAGTTAGTCCATTAGATCCATGCTAAATATATGAGGAGTGTTGAGGGATGCTTTTAGCAATATTTTACCAAGGTTGGTTTTTATTGCCGGTGGTCACTATGACCACAGTAAAAATACTAAAAAACTTTTTTTAGTTTTACTTTTACTAAATTAGGTATTTTATATAAATTAGGTATTAGGAGTAGCAACAGAAAACAGGGCCAAGGAAGGTGTAGCCTTACTAACACACCAAAGGTACCAAAATCACATTAAAAAGTGCCAATATGAATATATCAGAAAGAATAGTAACAGCAAATATAAAATACTTCCCACCCAAGAGAGCGGCGCCTACACAAACAAAAATCATAGTCGAAGAACTGAACACGGAATCCACTGAATACTTATACATGAAAACAATATCAGTAAAGATCCCTGGGAATAAAATAATAGAAAACCATAATATAGATGAAAGCTGGAAAAAACTCAAAAATGTGAAGAAAAGAAGAAAGACTTTTTACAATATAGAACACAACAAATACAAGTAACACATAAGACATATAACGACTGTAAACGAATCAGAAATGAAACGAATGGTTTAGACAAATAAAAAAGGAACACTGACAGAGTTTCTCAAAACAGATGGAACACGACTTCTACAGAACCCAAAAAGAAATATTTAGAATGATCAGAGGACAAAGAAGACAAGAGATGAACGAACTAATAAAAACGAAACACATTAGGGGGAAACACGAGTAGACTACTTACGATCTCTATTTGCTAAAGGTGACGATAATGAACCACCAACATTAGTGGTGACGACAAACGAAGAAATAAATAGTGAGAAGGAAAAGGTAAAGGAAGCATAAAGGAAATTTAAAAATAGAAGATCACCAGAAGAGGACAGAATACCGAATGAACTTCTAAAGTACAGAGGACCAGATCTGACCAAACAAATATTAAAACTAATCCAAAAAATAATAGAACAAAACAAAATTCCTCAAGAATGGAGATCAAGCATCCTAAAACCTCTCTTCGAAGAGAAAGATAAATCGGACCCGGAAAATTACAGAAGAATTTCTTTATTAAACATAACACTAAAATTAACAACAAAAGTGATAACAAACAAATTGAATAAAATTATAACACTAGCAGAAGAACAACAAGGTTTTAGGTCTGGAAGATCATTCACCGACGCTATATTTATATTGAGGCAAGTGCAAGAGAAATTATTAAAATACAACACACCGGCATATATATGTTTAGTGGATTTTACAAAACCATTTGATCGGGTCAAATTAAAAGACGTTATCCACTTACTGTACGCAAGAGAGATATCCCTAGGAATAATTAAAACAATCGAAAATATCTACCAAAACAACACAATAAAAGTAAAAGTAAAAAAAGAAATAACCGATTCTATTAAAGCTGGCAATGGGATAAGACAGGGAGATCCCTGGGAGTATTTTATTGTTCAACCTGATTATGGACGAAATAATAAAAAGAGTAAGAACTAAAAAAGGATACCAAATGGGAGAAAAAATGCAGACGATACAATACTGCTCTCTCAAGTGAAGATGATTTACAACGTATGTTGCACCAATTTAATATAACCGCCAGAAAATTTAACATGTTAATTTCCCCAAAAAAAGACAAAATGTATGGTTACAACAGCAAATTAACTAAGATGGAAATTGGAGCTGGAAGCTCAGTTAATAGAACAAGTGATGGAGTGTAAACAACTAAGCATCACATTATCTAGCTACGGAATGCTTGAAATCAAAGTGGAAGATTAAGTGAATAGAGCAAACAGAGCCACAGGCTGCCGAAATGAAACTATGGAGAAATAAAAATATCGGGAGAGAAACGAAAGGCACAATTTACAAAACAGTCATCAGACCAACAATGACATACGCGGCAGAAACAAGACCTGACATAGGGATACAACAAGAAAGAGGACAAAAAGGATGTTAGAAACAGCAGATATGAAAATACTTAGAAAAATTTATGGTAAGACACTATGGAACACAGCTAGATGTACAGATTTACGACGTAGATGCAAGGTGGAGAACATCAAGAACTGGGTAAAAAATAAAGGAGTAGAATGAAACGATCATCTAAGCCGAATGACAACAAATAAAATAGTAAAGACGGCAAGGGACGGTTCCCCAATAGGCAGACGATCAGTAGTAAGACCACGAAAACGATGGAACGATAACTTACTCGAGGCACATTAAAAAGAGACAGCCATGTCTATATAAAAAGAAGAAAAAGAAGAAGGTATTTTATTATTTGAATTAACAAAAACGCAATCCTAAATTCATAAAAAGATAATCCAAACCAAGAGGATAAACATCCAAGCTCTACATTTAGAAAAGCAAATATGAAACTATCAACAAATAAAATGAAGATTTAAAAAATGGCCGATTCTATCTACAGGTGCATAATGTCGCACCTCATGTCGATAGTTTGGGAAAAAAAAACTTTCTTAAGGCAGCTTCACAGTTGCTCAGGAACGAGAACGAGAACGGAAACGGAAACGAGAACGGAAACTGAAAGCATCAGCAGATTCACAATTAAGGGTAAACAAGGTGTTTTGTGCTACGAATATTTATTATTCGTAGCACTATAATTCGTAGAATTATTTTTTTTCTCAAAATAAATTTGGTGGAATAATCTTTTTCTAATTTTATCAAAAGAGAATAAGGCAAAAACTGATACAAATTTAACCCCTACTGTTCGATTGGGTTCGAACATGACTGAAAGTGCTGTAACAAGATTAAGGAATAGATTAGCCAACTGTTTAATATCTGATGTAGGTTCAGTGGTCAGGCCATGGAGATGAAGTGTATTAGTTTCTACATTATGAGATGGTGTACACTCTCTTCGTCTTGCTATAGCATGCTGGACGAGCTATACTGCTTGTAGTCAGTACCCCGATGTATGAGCGGGAACACAAGGTGTACTAATACTCATACTCTCATGAAGCGCATCTGGCGCTGCATGAGAACCTTCACATTGTACTCTTCTTCAACTAGTCTTGAGTAAAATGTCTTTTATCTTTCCTATCGGCTTCTCTTGGCCAACTCTTGTTTTTCCGACCCCCATTGGCTATTAGGTTTTCGAAGATGAACGGGTCATTATTCTCTTTTCTTACTCTAAACTATTTTCTACCACGAAGAAGGAAGTGGGGCCCCACTGCGTTTACTTTGCCCCAAGAACTATCATGAAAGATGACCTCTAAACATATCAGTATGCCGAGCGATCCAACTAGCAATTGGTGCCAATCAGCGTCCGGGGCTGATGGTGTGAAATGGGCTACCGGCCATGATGTTGTAAAAAACCAGGCACGCCATGGAAACTCTGATATGCCCCAACAAGCAAAGCTCACGATATAGAGATCGAAAGATTTTATAGTACGTTGGAGCAGACGCTTAGGAAGCTTCCAAATAGAGAAATCACAGCAGTAGCACGCGATGTCAACGCTAAAATTGGTGTAACTACAGAAGATCATTACTTGCGAGAAACCGTCGGATTACATGGACTTGGCCAAAGAAATGACAGAGGAGAACGCTTGCTACAATTTGTATAGACAACAACCTGTTTGTTACTAATACAGGCCTTCAACATCACCCAAGACGACTATATACTTGGATATCATCAGGAAATAGATACAGAAATCAGATAGATTTTATACTGGTAAAAACCCGTTGGAGGAGCGCTGTTAAGGATGTTAAGACCTATCCAGGAAAAGATTGTAATAGCGACCATCATTTTTTATCAGCTGAATTCCGCATGAAGTTAAAAAACAGGGCAAAAACAGGAAATAGAACAACTAAATGTCATCTAAGATATTAAGAGTGATAGAGAAGAAAGAAGGAAACAATGGATAACAGACTCCACGTGGACTAAAATACAAGAGAGGGAGTGCTTAAAATCCACAGGACTGAACAGTAAAAGTGATAAAGAGACCTATAAAGCGCTGAACGGTCAAATAAAATGACTCTGCAAAAAGGACAAGTACACACACTTGAACAAAATCTGCATGGAAATAGAAGGGCATAAAACCAAAACTGAGACCAGAGACATGTTTAAAAAAATTAAGCAGATAATACATTCCTTTACACCAAACTATCTTGCTATCAAAGATGATAACGGAACTCTACTCACTTCTAAAAAAGATATTTTACACAGATGGAAAGAATACTGGGGACGACTGATGATGGAGGAAAGCACAGACGCCCCATAACAACAAGAAGATGCCAGTTTTGCGACAGAACCTGACGTACACAAAAATAAAATTGAAGCAGCAATTATGAGGCAAAAAAGTCAGAAATCTGCCGGTCCAGATAACATACCTATTGAAATGATTTGGACCCTAGGATGACGTTGGAGTGTAAAAAAACATCAAATTTGTCAAAGAGTGTGGGAGACAGGTAAATGGCCTGAGGACTGGACACAATCACTATATATTCCCATACATAAAAAGGGAGCGAAGGATTTATGTAGCACTATAGCACAATTGCTCTAATTGCGCATTGCAGTAAGATACTCTTACACATAATTCTCGAGAGGATAAAGCCCTTTTTACTACCTTACATTGCGGAGGAACAAGCAGGTTTCGTCCCCGGACGTGGTACTAGAGAACACATTTTAAACGTACGGCAGATTGTGCTTCATAGATTATAGTAAAGCT